TGCTGCTATAAAAAAGAAGGAACTTTTACCATTTACAACAGCATGGATGGACCTGGAGAGCATTATGCTAAGTGAAATAAGCCAGTCAGAGAAAGATAAATATCACATGACCTCACTCATATGTGGGATATAATGATCAACATAAACTGAGAAACAAAAATGGATCCAGAGACAAGGTGGCACTGAGCAGACCACCCAACCTCAGGGAGAAGGTAGGGGAGGAGGGAGGAGTTAGAGATCAATCAAAGGACTTGTATGCATGCATATTAGCATGACCAATGGACACAGACACTGGGGTGGTGGGAGCTTGCCCTCAGGGGTGAGAGTGGCCGGGAGATGTTAATCAAGGAAAAAAGGAGACATGTAATACTTTAAACAATTAAAAAAAGTTATCTACTCAGTGACTAAAGCTTTTATTAATATTTGTTGAGGAGTAACATGATCTTTCATTTGTCTGTTTCAAATGAATTTCCCCTTACCTCCCTGAAGTTTACATTTCAAAAAGATTGCCTAAATAAGAGTTTCTAAAGAAGACCTTTTACATCTAAAAGGGAAAAAATGCTATTTTCTTCTAAAGGATTTAGTCTCATAAAGCCATAATTTATGGGCCTTTGAGATGAACAAGGAAGGTTTTGGTATTGCTAAAAAATTGATAGGTTTTGAATTGTTTCTGGCCATGTAAAGAATAAATTTGTAAAAGAAGGGGAGCAGCTTTTAATGCCTCAAAGAATTTTGTTGTGGCCTAAATGATATTAAAGGACTGATATAGTTTTTATTTCCTATGGGTACATTTAGCTTAGGGGAGAAAGACTAAAAAATTCTCATCAGGTTATTTTGTTTGTTTGTTTTGGTTTTCCTAAACCGTGTTTATGACTTGTTCTTCCCCTTTGAGCATGTGACCTTTTTTTAAAAAAAAACTCTTTATTGTTGAAAGTATTACATATGTCCCCTTTTCCCCCCATTACCCTCTCCTAGCCCACCCCCATCTCATCAGGTTTTGAACATAAGCTAGAGTTACAAATTTAGTAAGACTATTACTAGTGGAAGTGAGGAGGAAACTGGTCTTTCAAGGCATGTCATGAAGTATGGTAGCAACCATTTCAGGTGGAAACTGTAGTTTAACTCTAACCCTGTTGTTTGGCTTAACAATATAAAAGTTACTTTGATTTTCTGAATTGTATAAATCATCCCATTCAATTGAATGCCTTATTGATTGAATGACTATCCCAATTACCCTAAATTGTTTTAGTGGCCACAGGTGGTGCGTTCCAGCTGACTTAGTGGTCCCGAGACCAGAACAGCACAATTACTCTAAATTGTCCTGACAACTCAGTGGTCAGGAGACCCGAGGGCTCTAGATAATGTATTTCTGTCAATTCAGTGACCCCGAGACCCGAAACTGTAATTAACATGTTTAATTCTGCTTCTGTAATCTGCCTTTTTTGCGAGCCAGGTGCCTCATTCCAAACCCTGAGATGTAATCAATACCTTTGTGATTTTTTGCCTATATAACCCTGGAACTGTGACCAAATAACTGCTATGAGATTTGGGAATGGCCCCTCATAGTCCCGGATTGCAATAAATGTGACTCTTTAATTCGACTTCTTGAGGTGTCCTTCTGTGATTTGCAGGATAGTTACAACAGTCAGGCCATAAAAACTGTGAACAATGCACTGCCCTGGGGCGGGGGGAGGTCGTTATCGCTGGCCCCAGGACAGATCATCAGATATGGCCTGGGGACCCCCAACACCTAGGGGCCTTCCTGTAAGCCCACAAAAGAGGGCGGAACCATATCTGCAAGACCTCAGAAGGTTATAAAAAGTGAAGCCCTCTGCATGTTATTCACTCTGATTTGGAAATTATTCTCGGAGTCCACTAGTGTTAATAAACAGGGTCCCTCCCTTTCTCTAGGAAGTGTGCTTGGTATTTCTTTGGTCTTCTGCAACAGAAGTGGGGTATCCCTTTCCCCACTGAGAGCTGGGAGTGGGTTCTTATGTTGTAAGCAGCAGGAATGGCACCAGGTGTCTGACCCTGTGGGGTCAGACCAAACCTGGGTTTGACAACCTTAGTACTTGGGTTCTGGCTAGGAAAGAATTCAGAGTCAAGACAGAAATGTTAAGAGAATATTTATTTGTGTGGACAAAAAAGGGGCCACATGCTAACCTGACTAACTCAGAGAAGGCCTTCGTAGCAGCCTTGCAAACTCAAGAGACCTAAAGAAACAATAAAGGATGGTCTGAAATGAAAACCTTTCATTAAAAAGCAGTTTATACTGGGTAGTCTTGTCCTAGGCCAGTATCTCCCCTGACAAAGATCAACTTCAATATTTACTGAGCCTATGATCTTTTTGCATTTAAGATAACTTAACTGTGGAATGTCAGGGTAACATATAACTTCCCTTTTTCCAAACCCCTCAGGCACAATAAATGGCACCAGGGCAGAGACCACAAATTCCCTCATTGTTATTGTTATTCTGTTAATTGTTGACTGTTAACTATCCTATACCCACCTATGTAAAAGAAGCATGTGTCTATCATTCTACTTTTTATTCAATCTGTTAATATAAAAACATTCAAACCTGTAAAGAATTTTTGTGTTTATTGGAGCCAAACTGTCAACAATTGCCGGGAAACAGAATCTCAATGGATTGGGACAATGCTCCAGAGAATGGCAGTTTTTCACCTATTTTTATGCATTATATCAAAGGAGGAGACGTATGTGGGTTACATGAAATCCATTGGTGATAGATTAGGGAGGTGGGAGAAAGCAAAGTTAGGGAAACCTCTGGAATTGGATAAAAAGTAAAATGTTAGACGCACACTTATTTTACTTAGGTGGGTACAGGCTAGTTAATAGTCAAAAAATTAACATGATAACAATAACAATGAAGGAATTTATGGTCTCTGTCTGTCCTGGTGCCCAGGTTCATTTGGTTGTGCCCTGAGGGGTCCAGAAAAAGGGAAGTTAAAAGTTACCCTGACATTTCAATGATATGTTATTGTAGATGAAAAAAGACAATAAGCTCAGTTAAGGTAAAGATTGACCTTGTCAGGGAAGATACCAGTCTAGGAGGTGACTATCCACCATAAATCCTTTTAGTTAGTTTAATTTCAGACCATCCTTTGTGGATATTTTAGGTCTTTGAGATTGCCATGCAGGCCTTCCCTGAGCTTGTCAGGTTAGCATGTGGCCCCTTTCGTCCAAAAATCCCATAGGTTTCCCGCACTTTGCTTTCTCCCATCTCCCTAATCTGTCACCAATGGATTTCATCTCCATCTTTGATGACAATTTATAAAAATAGGTGAAAAACAACCATTCTCTGGAGCAGTGGTTCTCAACCTTGGCTGCACATTAGAATCACCTGGGAATCTTTTTAAAATCCTGGTTTCTGGGCCTCATCATTAGTAACAAAGAAACAGAATTTCCGGAGGATGAGGCCCAGAAATCAGGATTTTAAAAAGATTCCCAGGTGATTCTAATGTGCAGCCAAGGTTGAGAACCACTGCTCTAGATGAACCTCCTAGCAGTAAGATTGCCAAGATTTTTTATTTTCAGCCTTGGCAAATAAGAGGCACTATGCAAAACTGAAAGACAGCAAACCTTTGCCATTATTGCAAAAAAGCAGAGCACTGGAAAAGGGACTGCCATAAGTTTAAGCATTTCTGATGCCTTTAGCCTTCTAACCAGCCTTCTAATCAGATTTTTCAAGGTCATCCTAATTCCCAGTGATGATGCTCCAAAAAACTATTGGTACTTTTTCCAATCCTTTCTTCTAATTGGCTGTGAGAAACTTCTCTTTTAATTTGTAAGGAAACTATTTATATTCCTACTAGAGGCCTGGTGCACGAAATTCATGTTTTGAATTTAACATTGTTTTCTCCTTAGTTCTTCTGCCCCTTTCTCGGGGGGGGGGGGGTCCCGCAGCCCAGCCTGCACCCTCTCACAGTTTGGGAGCCCTCGGGGGATGTTCAACTGACAGCAGGGAGTGGGCCTAAGCTGTCAGTCAGATATCCTTAGAACTACTGTGGAGGTGGGAGAGGTTCCTGCCACCGCTGCTGCGTTTGCCAGCCATGAGCCCGGCTTCTGGCTGAGTGGCGCTCCCCCTGTGGAAGTGCACTGACCACCAGGGGGCAGCTCCTGTGTTGAGCGTCTGCCCCCTGGTGGCCAGTGTGCATAATAGCAACCGGTCATTCCACTA